ATATATATATATATATATATATATTTATTTATTTTTGTAAATTTTTTTTGTTATTATTATAATCTGCGATGACACCTGTATGGTAGACCCCAGTCAGTCAGGTTGACCTATATCTGATCTGTTTTTGTAAACTCAACCAAGTTAACCCAGATGGTACACATTTTGGGGGTAAGTGCTAGCAACAACATTGAGTGGCGATTTTGAAGAGTGCTCATTCACGGGTAGGTAATTAAAGCCTTTTGATGCTCCAACCTTTGTAATCTCGGACACCCAGTGCATCTGTCCACAAAAAATTACAACCGTGTGATAGTTATTACTGAATTGGATGCAGCTGAGAAGAAACTAAAGCATGGTAACAAGCATTACAGACTGTAATTACCACCAGTTGCATGTTGTTATTACAGTGTAACTATGAGTTATTACAATTAACTATAATACTTGTTACAGTGTAATTACACTGTAATAAGTACCCCTTAAAATAAAGTGTTACCAAGTTTTTCTTTATAATGTTGAAATAAACATGACTCCAACCCCCATATCACACACTTACAAACTGAAATCATATGTGTGTAGGCCTACATTGTACAATCAATCAGTAACATATCACATTCAAAAACATGATATCACATTAATTTGTACATATCCACTGTATACATGAATCATGGCAAAGTTGGTTCCTGTTTCAGTCATTTACATTTTACATTTTAGTCATTTAGCAGACGCTCTTATCCAGAGCGACTTACAGTTAGTGAGTGCATACATTTTCTTACTGGCCCCCCCCGTGGATATCGAACCCACAACCCTGGCGTTGCAAGCACCATGCTCTACCAACTGAGCTACACAGGATTTCTTTGGTCACATTCGTGTGGGTCATACAAAAACAACCTAATGTTTGGTTAGCAATAGAGCCTCCTAGCATGAAGTTGGTAAAGAGCAACTGCAGAAACTTGCAGTCAAAACTAAATGATCACATGATTTTTGTAAAGCTCATGCAGTCCACATGTAGGCACAAGTTGGAAAATGTTTAACCCCAATGCAACACACTTTGAAAGGCGGGGACCAATGATTTTGAACAACTTGCCAAAAACCATTGGCTCTAGTATATGTTGTGCCTTTAGATTCAGAGAAAATTAACAACCAATAAATTATTTTTCTCTTCTTTCATTGACTTCTCAAACCCCAAACCTGGGCCTACTCTTTCCACTGAGGTATAATAATAACTGGAGACTGCGTCCAATATGTCCGCACGTTGTTTTCAAGGTGTACTCACGTTCGCATACGCCTATTCATGGACCGCCTATATCTGGGTTGCATCCGTTTTATACGGACCACTCAGTGTGCACAGGGAGCAGATCAAGCAGCAACGACATCATCACGTCATCCAAAAACATGGCAGACATTGGATGAATGTAAAATGTTAATATCTTCGGCTGTGAGTGATGGGAAAAACAATCGGCCTCAGCGACACTTATTTGAATAATTAAGTGGATGTTTTGTGCACAAAGGTGATGACTTAAGTGTCTTATTAGGAATTTTCTAATCTGACTTCTATGCAGTGGTGGAAACAGTAACCCAATTGTCATACTTGAGTAAAAGGAAAGATACCTTAATAGAAAATGACTCAAGTAAAAGTGAAAGTCACCCAGTAAAATACTACTTGAGTAAAAGTCTAAAAGTATTTGGTTTTAAATATACTTAAGTATCAAAAGTAAAAGTATAAATCATTTCAAATTCCTTATATTAAGTCAACCAGACGGCACAATGTTATGTTTTTTAAATTTACGGATTGCCAGGGGCACACTCCAACACTCAGACATAATTTACAAACAAAAAATGTGTGTTTAGTGAGTCTGCCAGATCAGATGGGATGACCAGATATTTCCTCTTTAAGTGCGTGAATTGGACAATTTTCCTGTCCTGCTAAGCATTCAAAATGTAACAAGTACTTTTGGGTGTCAGGGAAAATGTATGGAGTAGAAAGTACATTCATTCCTTTAGGAATGTAGTGGAGTAAAAGTAAAAGTTGTCAAACATATAAATAGTAAAGTAAAGTACAGATACCCCAAAAAATGACTTAAATAGTACTTTAAAGTACCTAGCTCTGGGATTTTCTGATTGCAGCGAGTGCAAGGTCAGACAGGGAAAAAGATGGTGGAAGCGGATGATGAAGTGGATTCTGAATCTAATGGTGGTAGAATCAAGGAGAATTGGAATATTGTCCAAAAGAATGGAAAACGGAGCAAAGTAGAGCACAGTGATGAGAATGTCACTTCGTATCTAGTAGGAGTACGGTTTGTAAATGAGGAGCAGCTGATAGAATGACCAATCTTGAGGAATCCATTTGAGATGGATTCCTCAAACTGGTGGAGAAAGTGCTGAGTAGAGTGAAGGCTGTGAAGATCACGAGAGGCGGGCTGATTTTGATTTTTTGTGCTTCTGAGGATCAGAAGAAACGTGTGTTGCGTCTCACCCGATTTGATACGTTTAAAGGGTTGTGTGTGTCTCTTAGGAACAGGGCACCCCTCAAGGGGATTATATCTGGAGTCTCGTGGGAAATAGATGTTGAAGAGATTAAAAATATTCCTGGAGTGATTGATGCACATCGGATGAATCGTATGGTGAATGCAGAAAAGTGAAGAGTTTCTGTTCTTTTGTTTTTTGATATGAAGTCTCTCCCTACTCAAGTGCAGTTAGGGTATATTAACTACAGAGTCAGAGCATTTATCCCAAGACTAATCATTGTAAAGCTTTTGGTCATGTTTCAAGTGTTTGCAGAAGGGAGAAGCCGAGATGTCCAAGTTGTGGAAAATATAATATTATGTGTTATAAAAGTGATGAAAATATGAGATGGTGCAATTGTGGTGGGAACCATGAAGCCACGTCTTTCGAATGCCCCACAAGGGTGAAAGAGAATGAGGTGGCCAAAGTCAGGGCTATCCAGAGCATATCATATGCAGCAGCTGTTAAAAAGGTTGAGGGTTTGAATGGTGCACTTGAAGAGTCCATGGTGGTGGATAGGCCTTCACTGCAGGCTGCAGGGGTTGCCTTTCACCAGCAGGATCCTGACATTTTAAAGGTTAAGAAGGTGGACTTTGTGGCCTTTATAGCTATGGTGATAAATGGCACTGCCAAGGTGGAGAGAGGGTCCAGGAAGATATCAATCATTGTGGAAGCGGCGGAGTGGTTCCTGGGGCTGAAAGATTTACTGGCAAAGGAGTTACATGGAATATTGTCACAAGCCGTACCACCCTCTCAGGCCCTAGAGCCTGAGAAGGGAGATATGGAGAATTGAAAGAAGGAAGAAGTGGGAGTTTTGTTAATGTATAATTTGATTTGGGTGGATTAAGTTAGTTTCCCTATTACGAATGGATTTTCTTTTTACCTTATTTTGGTTTCAACCTGTCCAGTTGGTGGCGGCAATACTTCTGTTTGGGTTGTAGTCCACTTTAAACCAACAGAAGAATAATAATAACTTTTATGTCTATGTGGCCATGTATGGAAATTGTATTTTATGGCCAGGCGTCAGTTATACTGCAGTACCGAAGCAAAACTGTAGGAACAGTCGAAACTGTGCTTCTAGACCGGAACCCTGGCCCGTTGTGTCTACCTGGTCTGTCTCGCAAGCGTTCCCGGAGGTCTCGCGATGTTGCGCCTGTTAAGAATACTGAGGGATAGGTTTAGAAACTCTGTCATTATAGCTAGCTAGCGTAACTAATTATGTTGATGACGGGAGGCTACTGTGTCCTTCTTGGGAACCCTGTCTCGTGCTTTTGTTTTCATTCCAGCTGAGAACATTGATACATTAGGGCCCATTTGTAATTTCAGAGCGTTTCGCTCTCAGAGCGCATACTGGACGCTCTGGCCGAGAAGTAGGGTTGATCTGAGCGTTCTGACCTCACAACCGCAGTCAAGCGCCCGAGCTAACTGGCTAAAGTTGACTAGCTTGCTAGCTACTTCCAGACTCAAATGAGAGAACACCACACTGACCATTTGACTCACCCTAGCAGAGCTAGTTAGGCTGTTTTCATTCTATCTAGCGCAGGGTTGCCCAACCCTGTTCCTGCAGCGCTACCCTCCTGTAGGTTTTCGCTCCAACCCCAGGTGTTACTGACCTGATTCGTCTTATCAACCTGCTAATTATTAGAAGCAGGTGTGCTAGACTAGGGTTGGAGCAAAAACCTACGGGATGGTAGCTCTCCAGGAACAGGGTTGGGCAGTCCTGATCTAGAGCGTTAGTGACTGTAACTGTGCTGCTTGCAACAATTAATTCAATTTTTGGCCAACCTTTACTGACACCTGTCATATTTAACAGGTGTTGCGCGTTCATAAATTCATCAGTTATTCTGTGCTCTCGCACACTCAAACGAGAGTGCTCTGAAATCGGAGTAGATAGCCAAAATTAATTTACGAATGCACCCTAAATCGACATTATTGATTGGACGATTAGGACCAATGGGAGTAGAGAACGAGATGTTGACTTTAGTGCTTAGGTCCTTTTTGTTGTTGCGCGAACAGTGCTGAGGCAGGCAGTGAAGAAGGCGCGATTCGAATCAAGGACCACACCACTTTCCAAGCACTTGAAGGTAGGTTTGAAAATGTTTTTAACTGTAATCATTGGAGATATATTGATGGCAGTCATTACACTTTCAGTGACGTTTGTCATTTTTGGGGTAAGTAACATAGTTGTCATTACAAATGTATTGTCAATTTGTAAGTCGCTCTGGATAAGAGTGTCTGCTAAATGATGTAAATGTAATTGAGCTAGCTGCTTGGTACCTCGTTAATAGCTTTTCAGCTAGTTAGCCAGCTAATATAGCTAGCTAACTAGCCCTAAGCTAACTTTAGCCCACTGCTCGGTTTTATTTTTGGTGATAAGGTGATGATTTTTTTCTAAGTTCCACGCTACACAAAAATATATGTATTATACAATACGTTACTGTATTTATCTTCAACGTAAAAATTTGGGCGGGTTTTGGTACCCAGCGCATGACTGTCTGGTAATGATGGAGCCGAGGTGGGTGTGATTACACTGTCTGCCTCGCTCTGCTCTTTTGCTCAATTCCTTTGTCGTCAATCGACGATTAAACATTGCCTTTCGACACCACTAAGGACAAATTGCTGTGCTTTACATGTGAAGAGGGGTTTCAGCCCGCCAACTTGTAAGATAGGTAGCTACAGTTGCTAGTTAATTTATTCAGGTTGTCTGCCAGTGTCTGTGTGCCCCTGCGGAGCTGACAGTGAAGCCGAGTCCATTGTTTCCTCAGCACCAGTTTGCTATTCGTGCATTTGCAGGTGGGTTGAGATGGATATCAGTGTCGGTGGTATTTGTTTAGCTATGTCAAGTTAATGCGTGATATTGTATAATCTTTCATAATGTAATGATTCATAATTGTGTATTTGTTTTTATGAAATTGAAATCTGTCATTCTGTCATTGACATGAGTAGGTTGCGATTACTGTTGGTCGTTTGTATTCAGTCTTTGTTGCGAGTGGTGTCTTGTTTTGCAGCTGGTCTTAGCGTAGGCACGCCTCGGCCTTTGGCTAGGAATTGGCTTTAACTCAGTTGCAATGATTGAATTTGAATGCTCCAATCTGACTGTCAATTCAGACCACACCTGGTTAGCTAGTAAAGTTCATGTTGTTCTCTGACCTGTATTCACAATGGTGCTCCCTTTATTGTCTTTGTGCAATAATCAAATCCAATGCCAGGGAAAGAATGTTCTCTGCTCACATGATATTGCCATGGCAAGGTAGAAGACATTCTATTTTAGTAAGCTTAATTTATGCTCTGGTATTTGTTCCTGATAAACAAGGATGGGAACGAATTCATGTCCACGCCCTTTTTGTCTCCATTGAAATCACCTATTTTAAATATTTGCCAGCTCTTGTTTTGAATAGGTGCAGTAAGGCTACTGTGAAATCTATTCTCAATCATTTGATGTATGTCTGTATCACTAATATTCATGCTACATGTCGAACATTAATACAAGTGATCCATCTCCAACGGTCATCTTATAGACATCAATACACCCAATTGAATTCTTATTAGGCACATAGCATGGCTCTCCACCTTCAGAATCAATAGTTGTCATTGCTTGTATCAATCAGTATTTCTGTTCATTCACTGATTAGTGAATGCATGCATCTTTGACATATTGTCTTTCTGTCATTAAACCTATGGCTTTGTCTGTATTTTTCCTCCCAGGCATAGCAACTCTCAGTACTCTGCTGAAATGGCGTCCTCTGGAGGTAAGTGTTAACATGACAGGCCTTTATTACACTATTACAGTGGGCTCCAAAAAATATTGGGGCAGTTTTGTGCCCAATAGAAATTAATGGTAAATAATGTATTGTCATTTTGGAGTCACTTTTATTGTAAATAAGAATATAATGTTTCTAAACACTGTCCCAATACTTGTGGAGCTCACTGTATAATAGTATTGCACATTTGCAGACTGCAGATGCAAATCAGCTTCACTATTGTATTGTTCAGGTGCTATAACTCTATGCTGTTACCAGTTTGATACCTACTTGTATCAACATTGATGGATTCCCTATTTTCACAGAGATCCTGGTCAAGGAGTTGGACAAGCGTGCTTCAGGTCAAGCATTTGAGGTAATCTTGGCCCCCGATGCCAAGGGTGAAATCCCCCTACCTCCCCCGAAGGAGAAGAAGGAGATGTCCCTGGAGGAGATCCAGAAGAAACTGGAGGCTGCAGAGGAGAGGCGCAAGGTACCTACAGTCAGATATACACAAATAAGTATAAGGAAATAGAGCCGCATCCACCTTACAGGTTTAGTTCATTTATATTTTATTATTTTCTAGCTCAGGATTGGTCCCACTATCCTACCACTAACTTCCTGTGTGACTTTGACTTTCTCATTTGATCAGAGTCATGAGGCAGAAGTGCTGAAGCACTTAGCTGAGAAGAGAGAGCACGAGAAGGAAGTGCTGAAGAAAGCCATGGAGGAGAACAACAACTTCAGCAAGACTGCAGAGGAGAAACTCAATCAGAAGATGGAAGCCAACAAAGAGAACCGCACGGCACGAATGGCAGCGCTCAATGAGAAATTCAAGGAGAAGGTAGGCCTCACTGCTCAGTCTGCCATTTTGCTCAGTCATCTTGATGTAATTTTCTGCAATCCTGAATTTAAGAGAGAATTTCAAATGGAAAGGCCCAGGTTCTGGAAATGGGATGGATATCTGTTGGTTGAAATTCCATGCATTCTGTTAAGTTATACTTAACTAATCAGTTTAACTAATGTGATTTTCATGTTTTTTATTAATTCTAGGATAAGAAGCTTGAGGAGGTACGAAAGGCCAAGGAAACAAAACCAGAGGGGGAGAACTGATTTTTATTTTGTAATACTTTTGTTTTTACTTGTGCAAAGATATATTTGTTTCTGTTCGTTGCCAGTATTATTTTTTTCGTTGTTATAGTTTTGTTCACCTTGTAAGGATTATTTAGGCTATCCGTTGTTGCTTTTGTTGTGGATGTGTAATAATTTATTCCCCCACCTCCAGTAGTGTATTGCAGCTTATGACCTTTGAAATAAGCAGTGTTTTTACCTATAAGGAAGCATGCCACTGTTACGCATAGGTCCTTAACATTGTGAATTGCATAATGCAAGTAAATCCTTGTACCTTGTAAAGCTGCGGATATCTTGAGCTTAATAAAGTTGCAATTGTTCTTTAAAACCTCTAAAAGTCTTAGCCGTTGGGGGGGGAGGGTACTAAGCTAACATATTAAATTGTTTTAATGATGGTCATACCATGGATCATTTAGCTATTTGATTTTGAAAAAATATTTAATTATTTGATAAAATATTGAATTTGGCCTTTACTACTATAGCCCATAGAAACACATTGAATAACACATTCATATATGGCAAAACAAGTAAGCAATAAGGTTTTGAAGTGTCTGTCCTATATCTAGGAGATATAAGAAAGCTCAGGAAATATATCTTTTTTTTAAACACATTTAACCTCTTATTTTTGTTGGCATAAAATGACCATACTTCTATTCGTTTGTATGGGTTACCTTACATTTTACATTTTAGTCATTTAGCAGACACATCATATGTGTGTAGGCCTACATTGTACAATCCATCAGTAACATATCACATTCAAATAAATTATATCACATTAATTTGTACATATCCACTGTATACATGAATCATGGCAAAGTTGGTTCCTGTTTCAGTCATTTACATTTTACATTTTAGTCATTTAGCAGACGCTCTTATCCAGAGCGACTTACAGTTAGTGAGTGCATACATTTTTCATACTGGCCCCCTGTGGGAAACGAACCCACAATCCTGGCGTTGCAAGTGCCATGCTCTACCAACAGCTACAGGGGACTACCTTCAGACGAGTCCCATGACACTTGAGGGGGGTGTAGAGCAAAACTGAGTTTTGTTTGAGAGTCTCACATTTCCATAGAGTGGTCATAATAGTTTGTAGACGCTTCATATGTTTTCGTGAGAAAACCGATTTTCGGGATGTCTCATGGTCTGACGAACACCACAGCGTGGATTGAGACGCAGCCCATGCAAAAACAATTTGATATCTCTAGCTTAAACTGACGGATTTTGATGGGTATTTTTTTATTATGTTACTTAGATTAACGCACGAGTGCATCAATAGACTCCTTAAGGATTATTAATGGTCTTCATTTATTTGTGGCTTTTGGGTTGCAGACTGTTACCTACACACCTTCTGTAATGCTAGTATTGCCATTTTGGTCATTCACATTTCATCATGCAAATTTGATAGTCATTTTCAAATGGATCCCACAACATAGTAGATGCAGCATAGTGGATGAATAGTGTATTGTATCACCCTCAGTATTTCAATTATCTTCATCTTTTACCTAAAGATTGGATAGAGATTATTGCCACATTCGTTTACTCGTTATTATAATTTTCATCTAGATGTTCCTGTTATTCAATCCATCTGTTTTGTGATATAAGGCCTTGATAGTGGTACTGGTAAATATAATTACTTGCTAGGAGAAAAAAAAAGGCAACAGTCATTCCTTTGACTCTACTGACACCTAGTGGTAATAGCGTAAAGCTGTAATGTAGAGCAACAGCAGGTGGAAGATGAAATTAAGATTTATCTTGTCACACATTTTGTCAGTGTATAGACAGTGTCTTTTGGGCATATGAGTAATATTGTTTTATCATTATAAACAATTAAATTAACATGTTTTGTTGAATTGTTTCACTGATCAAGTGTACAGCCACACCGTACCTACAAATGCCATATTCTATTAGAGCCATACTATACTGGGAGGTTTGCTGTTAAGGCCTAAAATTTGGTTGAATTAATGCTGACAGTTAAAGACCCATTGCTGGTATGTAGCCTACTGCTGGTATGGCTACAGATGGACAAAATCCCAGTGATGGGTGAATCTGCAGAATGGTATTTTACTTTCTTTGCTTGATTAATCGAAGCAGACTTGTGCCATCAACAGTGTCACTGCTGGACGAATGTGTGCAGACAGACATACACACACACACACGTAAGTATCACGTCTCAGTGCCTGGGTACATTTCTGCACAGTATGCCTGGCAGTGCCACACACAGAACCTTATTTGTCAGCTGTGTGTGTAGAGCAGTCTGTGATGGGATTATAAAGTCATTAGCTCACTCGTACCACAGTACAGTACTGCTCCATTCCCCACAATGCACCACGGAGCTGTGGACCACCGGAGCTTCAAGACCTTTCTCAGCCTGACCTGGATTCCTAGCAATTCAAAATTCCTCCCTTCGGCAAATCAGATCACGCCTCCATTCGGCTCCTCCCAACCTATAGACAGAAACTTAAACAGGAAGCACCCGTGGTAAGGACTGTTCAATGTTGGTCTGACCAATTGGAATCTATGCATCAAGATTGTTTTGATCACACGGGCTGGGAATTGTTCCAAGTTGCCTCAGAGAATAGTGTCGACGGATACACTGACTCAGTGACTGGGTTAATCAGGAAGTGCATAGAGGATGCTGTTCCAACTGTGACGATTAGAACTTATCCAAACCAAAACCGCGTATAGAACTACTGCATTTAACCATGGCAAGGTGACTGGGAACATGGACGTGTACAAACAGACCAGCCATGACCTCCGTAAGGCAATAAAAAAGGCAAAATGACAGTATAGAGACAAAGTGGAGTTGCAATTCAACGGCTCAGACACGAGATGTATGTGGCAGGGACTCTAGACAATCACAAATTCTAACGGGAAAGCCAGCCACGTCGCGGACACCGGCGCCTCACTCCTGGACAAGCTAAACACCTGCGCCCGCTTAGAAAACAACAACATTGAGCCGCCGATGCGGGCCCCCCGCCGCACACGAGGACTGTGTGCTCTTGTTCTCCGTAACCGACATAAGTAATTTAAGCGTGATAACACTTGCAAGGCTTCTGGCCCAGACGGCATCCCAAGCTGCGTCCTCAGAGCATGTCAAGACCAGCTGGCTGGAGTGTTTACGGACATATTCAATCTCTCTATATCCCAGTCCCCACTTGCTTCAAAATGTCCACCATTGTTCCTGTACCCAAGAAAGTGAAGGTAACTTAACAAAATGACTATCGCCCCGTAGCACATCATGAAGTGCTTTGATAGGGTAGTTAAGGATCATATCACCTCCACCTTACCCGACACCCTAGACCCACTACAATTCGTATACCACCCCAACAGATCCATGGACGACACAATCGCCATAGTGCGCTCAAAGCTCATCACTAAGCTCAGGGCCCTGGGTCTGAACCCCGCCCTGTGCAACTGGGTCCTAGACTTCCTGACGGGCTGAACCCAGGTGGTGAAGGTAGGCAACAACACCTCTGCCACGCTGATCCTCAACACAGGGGCCCCACAGGGATGCATGCTCTGCATGCTCAGCCCCTCCTGTACTCCCTGTTCACCCATGACTGCATGGCCCTGCACGTCTCCAACTCAATCATCAAGTTTGTTGACGACAACAGTGGTAGGCCTGATTACCATCCACATCGACGTGGCCGCAGTGGAGAGGGTCAGAAGCTCAAGTTCACATCCCTGAGTACCTGAAATGGTCCCTCCACAATGCCAGCGTGGTGAAGAACAGCGCCTTTTCAACCTCAGGAGGCTGAATACATTTTATTTAGAGAAGTCTCTGTGGTCAGCTTCGACAAATATGAAACTACACTTTGAGCAAGTTCTAAAATAAGCCATACATTTCTAGAGTAATATAAAAAGCAACGATGATGAGGTACTGTACCATTCATCAACAAGGGCCCCCTCCTACGGGAAATGTACATGATACAAATGTGCGGAAATACAATAATTACACAATTGTTATACAAAATTATTTTTAACACACTAAATATGCATTCTACCCTATCTTTGCTTAAACAAACACCTGAAAAGCTAGTTTGGAGTGCATTTCTTGTTCCTAAATACATTTGGAAATGTATTGGAAATAGGTTACCAAGTCACATACCAGGCATGGAACATGTTCAAATTGCAAACAAGAATGTGTTAATCTTGTGTGACATTTCTGGTTCGGCCCTTGCCTATATTGTTTTAGAGACACCTGTTAAGTCTGAGAAAATATTCACTGTGTGACAGAAGGCTGTGCACATCTATGTGCACTTTATATAATTGTACAAGAATGTTTATGTATTGTACAATACCATCCACATAAAGAGGTCTCAGCAGGTGGTATTGTCAGCCTTCACAGAAAGGGAGACAGCTGAGACACCGCTGGAATTGTTTTGAAAGTCTGGACTGGGTCTGACTGAGTATATACAATGCAAGCCTTTCACAGACGCATCCACAGTGTTTCATACAAAGACACATTGACAATGCTACCCCCTGCGTGGGAGGAGGGAGAATGTGATCCTTTATACAGTGACTGGACTAAGGAGTAATACAAAAATTGCTTGACTTGAAATACAAATGAGTTTCAGTTTACTGTGAACCATATTGGTGGTGGACGAACAATAGGTGTCTCATCAATAGCCAAACTTGTGCTGAGTTAGGTCATTTCACATGTGGGCTAACTTCTAAGTTGGAGGTTTCTATTGCAAAGTTACTGTGGGCCTATATCTATTGGTTTAGCACTCTGGTAGACACCCAAATTTAAAGTCACATCATTAATGGATGAGGATGAAATGACACTGCCATAAAGTACACTGTAATAAATACCAATAACAAAGTGTCAATGCCAAAGCCTATTATTGTTTTAGGAGGGGAACCAAGCCGCTGATCATGTAGTGATCGTACTTTGCTGAAAGGAAACAGAAAAATAAATGTACCATTAAATATAGGCCTATGCACTTGCACATGCAGACATGCACTCGCACGCACGGACACGCACACACACACACACACACACACACACACACACACACACACACACACACACACACAGTATTGCGCAGCTAACCTTGTGGGGACATACAATTCAGTCCCATTCAAAATCCTATTTTCCCTAACCCCTAACCGTAAACCTAACCCGTACCCTTACTCTAACCTTAACCCTAAGCTTAACCCTAACCCTAAACCTAACCCAGCTCCTAACCCTAACCCTAAAACTAACCCTATCTCCTAACCCTAACCCTAAACCTAATTCTAACCCTAACACTAATTCTAACCTTAACCCTAAACCCCCTAGAAATAGCATTTGACCTTGTGGGGACCAACAAAATGTCCCCAGTTGGTATTTATTTTTTGCGTTTACTATTCTTGTGGGGACTTCTGGTCCCCACAACACACACACACACACACACACACACACACACACACACACACACACACACACACACGCACACCTCTCCAATAGACTTTCAAATCAGTAAAACAAGTACATAATTTAGCTGATAATTTATGGGGAGTGGGTGTTTCTTCATTTTCATAGCACACACATGCATTTCATTCCCTGACAGTGTGCAGTCAAATAAGACCTACGCTATTGGTGAGAATCTAGTAACAGGAACGGTACACCATATCTAACCGCTGATTGGTTAGAATATCTGTTTGTCAAAGGCTCTATTAACAGGACCGGTACACCATATCTGACCGCTGATTGGTTAGAATATCTGTTTGTCAAAGGCTCGTGGATCTTTGACTACAGATAGCGTCTTGTTAAATATATATATATTAAAAAACCGACAGGCGCTCCACCCGCACAAGAATAATCATCCTTTAGTAATTTTATTGATCAAACAATGTTACTTCTATTTGATGTATTAATGAATAATCCAAAGGATTCACTATTCTAGGTTTTGCACTGATACTACGTTTGCCTTCTTCAGGTAGGTTTATTTCTGATGGTTATGCATGGTTTTCAGCACTGCTGGCCACGCCAGAATATGGTCGCATAAAATGTCAATGTGAATGCCGATAGAGCATTTTGATCATGTGCATTTGAATAGAAGGCTCTGTTTAAGTACATCTTGTATAAAATGTAATAGAGCAGCTGTCGGAATGAGAAGTTGAAGCCTATTCTGCATGCGGTTTACCCCTCCCTGATCATGTCTCGGCTTAATTTGAATATATTGTTACAGAAATTCCCAATTTGTGTTCATATTAGGCTATGTCGATAATTAGGATAACATATTGATCAGCCGTTTCCATGCAATTATTAATTGTTAGCTAGTAGGCTAAAATAGGCCTCACTGTTGGATGCCTTGACTAAATAATTTACAATAGAATACCGTTCCACAATCTCAAAGCTTCTGGATTCGTTTATACTCGAGCTATTCTTCACCTATGAATATTTTAAAGACAGCTAAGCATGCAACCAATGTAAAAATCTGAGGGTGGAGACCGGCTGGATGGAGAATATGTTTGCAATTCTCTTCCCATTCATCAACGCTCCATGATACCATTTTTGCTTAGCACCGTAGGTGAATCTCAATCAATTACGTGACCTCTTCTTCTTGTCTCCTTACCTTCATCCACGCTAACATGGTCATGGAAGGAGTGGACAAGTGGAAGAAAATTCTCAGTAGTGGAGGCATTCTTTCGCTTGCCCTGCGTTTTTAGATAAATGCAAATGAAGTAGCTAGAGAGAGTTTGAGGAAGCTGTTTAATTTACCCACACTATTGAGATGCACCCCGTGTGTAGGCCTAGGTTACAGCGTTTACATCTTTGCACTGCTGACACAGAAAATATACATAAGTAGCCTACAGTACACCGCTTTATTTCTTATATTTTTTGTAAGATTTTGGATTTTAGACAATAGACATAGACAAAAGACAATAGACAACTTAACATTTCACAGACATAGATCCACTAAACTAAACACTACATTGGCTGGGTGTCACGCCCTGACATTGAGATCTCTAGTTGAGTTGGTCAGGGTGTGAAATCTAGTTTATATACACTGCTCAAAAAAATAAAGGGAACACTAAAATAACACATCCTAGATCTGAATGAATGAAATAATCTTATTAAATACTTTTTTCTTTACATAACTTTTGCACTTTATAGCACTCCCAGAAGGCATGAATTATTGAGTCATTGTTTGTTTTACACTTAAGACACGACTCTGACATTGTGCTGTAGAATTTGTGTATTTTGTCTCTTGTATAATACATTCTATACATTAGTTTATACTTGATTAAGCATACATTTTTGTTTGCTGTAATTTTGTTAGTTATATGTTCCAACATTTCCTCCATCTTGTGCCGATATCAGTTCTTTTTAGGTCTTGGTTCCAATATTTAAAAAAAATAAATTCTAAGAGATTGTCAGTTGGATAGGCTCTCTGCAAGGTTTGTAGGCTATATCTTACCTATCAAATGAGTATCCTTTTCTGACTCAAATAGAATATCCTTAACATTGCTTTGATGTCCAAAATATTCTGCGATATAAAACTTTTAAGTTGCATATATTTGAAAAAAGTACACTGCTTTATTGCAAATGTAGGCATTATAAAGATATGTTAAATGAAATAATCTAACAAGCTAAACTACCCCCCTCCACCCACCCCCATTACTAAGCCAAAGCCAAAAAATCAAAGCATTGTAATATCATGCAACACAAATAGACCTAATGCATATGGATTAGGGTCTAAATCTTCTTGCTGACAATCAGTAATGACAGCTCATGGCCAGATAGATATTATTGACTGACTGTGAACTCATTCTCTGCCCTCATCTCCCGTCTCTAGTTTGCCATGGCGACCGTAGTGATGGAGCAGATTGGTCGCCTGTTCATCAATGCTCAACAGTTGCGTCAGATCCCTCAGCTGCTCGAGTCGGCATTCCCTACTCTGCCCTGCACCGTGAAGGCCGACGATGTGCCCTGGGTGTTCCGTGAGCCTCACATCATCGGAGGCTACAGGCAGCCGGACCACAGCTGGCGCTACTACTTCCTCACCCTCTTCCAAAGGCACAACGAGGCACTCAATGTGTGGACCCACCTGCTGGCTGCCTTCATCATCCTGGTCAAGTGCCAGGAGCTGTCCGAGACAGTGGATTTCCTCCGTGACCCCCACGCCCAGCCCCTGTTTATAGTCCTCCTCTCAGCCTTCACTTACCTGTCGTGCAGTGCCCTGGCCCACCTACTTAACGCCAAGTCCGAGCTCTCCCACTACACCTTCTACTTCCTGGACTATGTGGGCGTGGCCATCTACCAGTATGGCAGCGCCCTGGCCCACTTCTACTACGCCATCGAGGAGGGCTGGCATGCCCGGGTGCGAGGGATCTTCCTGCCCGCCGCAGCGTTCCTGGCCTGGTTCTCGTGCTTCGGCTGCTGCTACGGCAAGTATGCCAGCCCGAGGCTGCCCAAGTTTGCCCACAAGCTGTTCCAGGTGGTGCCCTCGGGCCTGGCCTACTGCCTGGACATCAGCCCCGTGCTGCACCGCATCTATAGCTGCCACCAGCAGGAGAGGGGCTGCTCCAACCAGGCCGTGGCTTACCACCGCTACCAGGTACTCTTTTTCCTGGTGAGCGCCTACTTCTTTGCCTGCCCCCACCCAGAGCGCTGGCTGCCTGGGCGATGTGACTTCATTGGCCAGGGTCACCAGATCTTCCACGTGTTCCTGGTGCTGTGCACCCTGGTGCAGATCGAGGCGACACGCATAGACTACATTGAGCGGAGGCCCCTCTATGAGCGTCTCCACGGCAACCTGGCCCATGACGCAGTGGCGCTCTTCGTCTTCACAGCATGCTGCAGCGCACTCACTGCCTTCTACGTGCGGAAACGTGTGCAGGCGCAAATGCGCGAGAAAGAGGATTAGGAGACATCAGGACAGACGGATATACAGTTGAAGTCTACATACACCTTAGCCAAATACATTTCAACTCAGTTGTTCACAATTCCTGACATTTAACCCAAGTAAAAATTCCCTGTCTTAGGTCAGCTAGGATAACCACTTTATTTTAAGAATGTGAAATGTCAGAATAATAGTAGAGAGAATGATTTATTTCAGCTTTTATTTCTTTCATCACATTCCCAGTGGGTCAGAAGTTTACATACACTCAATTAGTATCTGGTAGCATTGCCTTTAAATTGTTTAACTTGGGTCAAATGTTTTGGGTAGCCTTCCACAAGCTTCCCACAATAAGTTGGGTGAATTGTGGCCCATTCCTCCTGACAGAGTTGGTGTAACTGAGTCAGGTTTGTAGGACTCCTTGCTCGCACACGCTTTTTCAGTTCTGCCCACAAATGTTCTATAGGATTGAGGTCAGGGCTTTGTGATGGCCACTCCAATACCTTGACTTTGTTGTCCTTAAGCCATTTTGCCTCAAGTTTGGAAGTATGCTTGGGGTCATTGTCCATTTGGAAGACACATTTGCGACCAAGCTTTAACTTCCTGACTGATGTCTTGAGATGTTGCTTCATTATATCCACATAATTTTACTTCATTATGATGCCATCTATTTTGTGAAGTGCACCAATCCTTCCTGCAGCAAAGCACTTCCACAGCATGATACTGCCACCCCCGTGCTTCACGGTTGGGATGGTGTTCTTCAGCTTGCAAGCGACCCCCTTTTCCCTCCAAACATAACGATGGTCATTATGGCCAAACAGTTATATTTTTGTTTCTTCAGACCAGAGGACATTTCTCCAAAAAGTACGATCTTTGTCCCCATGTGCAGTTGCAAACCGTAGTCTGGCTTTTTTTATGGCGGTTTTGGAGCAGTGGCTTCTTCCTTGCTGAGTGGCCTTTCAGGTTATGTCGATATAGGACTCGTTTTACTGTGGATATAGATACTTTTGTACCTGTTTCCTCCAGCATCTTTACAAGGTCCTTTGCTATTGTTCTGGGATTGATTTGCCCTTTTCGCACCAAAGTACGTTCATCTCTAGGAGACAGAACGCGTCTCCTTCCTGAGCGGTATTGTCACGACTTCCGCCGAGGCTGCCTCCCCACCTTGTTCGGGCAGGCTTCGGCACTCATCGTCACTGGCTTACTAACCACTGCCGCTCCGATATTCATCATTCCATTTGTCTTGTCATTACACACACCTGGTTCTTATCCCCTCGTTAGTCCATGTATAAGTGTTCCCTCTGCCCCCTTGTCCTTGTGGGTGATTGTTATTATGTGAGAGTAGTGTAGCTCGGTGGAGCTACTCGTACCTATTTGTTGCGGGGGTAGATATTTTCCCCTGTGCCTATTAATGTTGGAGCTACCATTACAGTGTATTGCCAGGGAAGATAGTTTCCCCTGTGCCTGTTTCGTTTGTCGCTATCTAGCGCATTTTGGTGTAAAGACGGATTAAACTCTATATTCGGTGATTACCCTCCTGTGCCTGACTCCTTCTATCACAGTCATCACAGATATGACGGCTACGTGGTCCCATGGGGTTTATACTTGCATACTATTGTTTGTACAGATGAACGTGGTACCTTCAGGCATTTGGAAATTGCTCCCAAGGATGAACCAGACTTGTGGAGGTCTACAATTCTTTTTCTGAGGTCTTGGCTGATTTATTTTGATCTTCCCATGATATCAAGCAAACTGAGTTTGAAGGTAGGCCTTGAAATACATCCACAGGTACACCTCCAATTGACTCAAATGATGTCAATTAGCATATCAGAAGCTTCTAAACCCATGACATCATTTTCTGGAATTTTCCAAGCTGTTTAAAGGCACAGTCAACTTAGTGTATGTAAACTTCTGACCCACTGGAATTGTGATACAGTGAATTATAAGTGAAATAATCTGTCTGTAAACAATTGTTGGAAAAATGACTTGTGTCATGCACAAAGTAGATGTCCTAACCGACATGCCATATACAGTGGGGAAAAAAAGTATTTAGTCAGAAACCAATTGTGCAAGTTCTCCCACTTAAAAAGATGAGAGAGGCCTGTAATTTTCATCATAGGTACACGTCAACTATGACAGACAAATTGAGAAAAAAAAATCCAGAAAATCACTTTGTAGGATTTTTTATGAATTTATTTGCAAATTATGGTGGAAAATAAGTATTTGGTCACCTACAAACAAGCAAGATTTCTGGCTCTCACAGACCTGTAACTTCTTCTTTAAGAGGCTCCTCTGTCCTCCACTCGTTACCTGTATTAATGGCACTTGTTTGAACTTGTTATCAGTATAAAAGACACCTGTCCACAACCTCAAACAGTCACACTCCAAACTCCACTATGGCCAAGACCAAAGAGCTGTCAAAGGACACCAGAAACAAAATTGTAGACCTGCACCAGGCTGGGAAGACTGAATCTGCAATAGGTAAGCAGCTTGGTTTGAAGAAATCAACTGTGGGAGCAATTATTAGGAAATGGAAGACATACAAGACCACTGATAATCTCCCTCGATCTGGGGCTCCACGCAAGATCTCACCCCGTGGGGTCAAATTGATCACAAGAACGGTAAGCAAAAATCCCAGAACCACACGGGGGGACCTAGTGAATGACCTGCAGAGAGCTGGGACCAAAGTAACAAAGCCTACCATCAGTAACACACTACGCCGCCAGGGACTCAAATCCTGCAGTGCCAGACGTGTCCCCCTGCTTAAGCCAGTACATGTCCAGGCCCGTCTGAAGTTTGCTAGAGTGCATTTGGATGATCCAGAAGAGGATTGGGAGAATGTCATATGGTCAGATGAAACCAAAATATAACTTTTTGGTAAAAACTCAACTCGTCGTGTTTGGAGGACAAAGAATGCTGAGAGAACACCATACCTACTGTGAAGCATGGGGGTGGAAACATCATGCTTTGGGGCTGTTTTTCTGCAAAGGGACCAGGACGACTGATCCGTGTAAAGGAAAGAATGAATGGGGCCATGTATCGTGAGATTTTGAGTGAAAACCTCCTCCCATCAGCAAGGGCATTGAAGATGAAACGTGGCTGGGTTCTTTCAGCATGACAATGATCCCAAACACACCGCCCGGGCAACGAAGGAATGGCTTCGTAAGAAGCATTTCAAGGTCCTGGAGTGGCCTAGCCAGTCTCCAGATCTCAACCCCATAGAAAATCTTTGGAAGGAGTTGAAAGTCCGTGTTGCCCAGCGACAGCCCCAAAACATCACTGCTCTAGAGGGGATCTGCATGGAGGAATGTGCCAAAATACCAGCAACAGTGTGTGAAAACCTTGTGAAGACTTACAGAAAACGTTTGACCTGTGTCATTGCCAACAAAGGGTATATAACAAAGTATTGACAAAACTTTTGTTATTGACCAAATACTTATTTTCCACCATAATTTGCAAATAAATTCATAAAAAATCCTATAATGTGATTTTCTGGAATTTTTTTTCTCATTTTGTCTTTCATAGTTGACGTGTACCTATGATGAAAATTACAGGCCTCTCTCATCTTTTTAAGTGGGAGAACTTGCACAATTGGTGGCTGACTAAATACTTTTTTGCCCCACTGTATCTCCCGAGTGGCGCAGTTGTCTAAGGCACTGCATCGCAGTGCTAGCTGTGCCACTAGAGATCCTGGTTCGAATCCAGGCTCTGTCGTAGCCGGCCGTGACCGGGAGACCCATGGGGCGGCGCACAATTGGCCCAGCGTCGTCTAGGGTAGGGGAGGGAATGGCCGGCAGGGATGTAGCTCAGTTGGTAGAGCATGGCGTTTGCAACGCCAGGGTTGTGGGTTCGATTCCCACCGGGGTATGAAAAATTGTATGAAAAAAAAATATATATCATGTATGCACTCACTAACTGTAAGTCGCTCTGGATAAGAGCGTCTGCTAAATGACTAAAATGTAATGCCAAAACGATAGTTTGTTAACAAGAAATGTGTGGAGTGGTTGAAAAACAAGTTTTAATGACTCCAACCTAAGTGTATGTAAACCTCCAACTTCAACTGTAGGAGGATAAGGGAGGAAGACTTTAATCTGATTTACACTGGAAAGCTACAAAGACAAGAGATTAAAGCAATCAGATTGTTCATTTTGTAAAAAGATACCAGTATGTAAAAACAATGACCTGCTGTTTTTTTTTTTTTTTTGTGGGTTGCCAAATGACATTTTAAACTGGCAACATAGACTTTGTCTTGCGATGTTGACCTTCCAGGAAGACAGAAAAATCCTGGTACTCTCTGTCTTTCACAGCACAGGCAGTACCTGTAACACTCCAAATAAGGTCTTTGCACTTCACAGAGAGGGTAAAATGACGTTTTTTTCCCCTCTTAATGTTCCACTCTCCACTGTGAAATCACAAGTCATTGCCTGGCTATCTACTGAATAGTCGGAATGACTGTTTGACTACATACTGTACTGACTGACCAACACCAAGCATGACACAAACCATCTCAATAGAGGTATGCAGGAAAGAATGGAAAGTATACCCACGTTGCCCTTAAGTCAATAATCAAATAAATAATTATAATAATTTCTCACCAGCTTTTATTTCTTAAAAATACAATGTGAGTTTCAAAGCGATTTGACTCCCAAGTCAAATGTTAGTGCCTAACAAAGACCAGTATTCTTGTATTTATTTTTCCTTGGTTATCCCATGATATTCCAGCGAGCTGCAGTCAACACTGCCAAATTATGTCTCCCCTGCTCATTCTCTGTGTTTTATCTGCCATTTTCTCCAAAGCTATGTTTGCTAAGTGATTGAGATGCCTATACAGGCTGTCAGATAAAATAGACTGGCAGTTAGACTGGGCTAGAGGCATAGAGCACACAATTTGCAAACCAAACAGAACTTTTCCCCTCTAAGATGCATCAATTGGCCATTTTACTAACATGCAGATTGGTCATTTCAAAGAACAAAGCTGGCACTCTTAGGATAGTTGGCGTAAGAGATGGATTGCTATGATGTCTCTTTGACGTTGTGATAATGTTCCTTTTGTATTCAAAGGTCTGGAACTTCAGCTTTTGCCTGTTCACACCCCATGATGTCAATGCCTTTGTGTTTATTGTTCAGTCTTTTCATGGACTTGACTTTACTCACAAAAGGGCTGTCTGGAGTATGGTGACTTACTGTTTGTATATTTGTATATGTATGGTTGGGTATGTACGTGCCTTGAAGCATGTCTCTTTGCGTGTATAGATGTTTGTGTGTGATTCAGATGTGAATGTGCCTGTCTTTGCACTGCTTTCTTATATTTGAGACCCTCCTCAAGAACATTCTAGTCCTTTAACGTCCTCTCAAGTCCCTTAGGGTGACATTTTAAGTCTGTCACAGCAGTGAAAGGTGGAAGAATTACTCACAATACAGCAGGATTTATTTTAAAACCTATTTTGATGATGTCCATGAGACAGTGGCAACGATTTATTCAGAGCTAAAGTAAACAATGCATTTATTAAACAGGTATTCAAATCAGGACCTGGAGACAATAATTCCAATACTCATTTTGAATGAAATGCCATTTAACCTCTTCATCACTAGGCACCTGGCTAAAGCGCCTGCCTCGAAAATGCATGCCCAAATTGAATAGAGTATATCTCAAAAACGACAAGGGCTATAAACATAATCGTGGTAGCAAAAGAAAGGTAACACGTGAGATGTATCTTGAAGTGAAATAATGAATGTGGGTATTACTGTGTCAGAGTACATGAAGCTAGAACACAGCATAAATAGGGAGGTTTTGATTCCGCCTGAAAGTAACTTCAGGTTTTATAGGGAATGATTTATTGGACTTATGCAGCTGCAGCCCCTAAACACTATGGGACCATAGCCCAATATCTGATGAGTACTTATGTGAAGTTTGATGCCAATAAAGTAAAGTAAACCAAAGTTGTAGGGGTTTTAGTTGAAGTATGTTTGGGGTGGTGCACAATTCGTCCAGGGTAGGGGAGGGAATGGCCAGCAGGGATGTAGCTCAGTTGGTAGAGCATGGTGTTTGCAACGCCAGGGTTGTGGGTTGGATTCCCACGGGTGGCTAGTATGAAAAAGAATGTATGCACTCACTAACTGTAAGTCGCTCTGGATAAGAGCGTCGGCAAAATGACGTAAATGTAAAAAATGTGGGTAGATTTGGCCACCATCAGTGCCATTTGACTTTTATCATGTACCAGACAGCAAAAGTCATTTAATTTCACTAACATATCACTATATGTGTACATTCCATCAAAATACAACTGTTTTGATGTTGTTTCCAATGTTCTTCCAGACCTCTATACGTGTTCCCATTAAAATAAACCATACAATGGGAAGGTTTGACTCCAAACTGAGTAGATCTATTAGAAACTATAAACAACAAATTTAAAAACAAAAAGTCCACACATCCCAAAACTATAAACAATGATATGGTGTCCTTGGGTGGGTTGTCACACAAAATGTATACCCTTTTCACCCTAAATCTTGCTGTCGTGCCAATCCTTGAAACAGTTACGCTTTGATGTAATGCACAAAGGGACTTGGCACTTCCTGCAGTACAAAGGTGTTTTCACTTTGGGAATGCCAAAATCCAGCCATCTCCTACAGTTCTTCCTGTCTTTGCTGGCATCATCACCATAGTATTCTGGCATGCAGGATGTTGGTGGTGGTCGTGGTGGAGGTTGTGGTTCAGACTGTTTAGCAAAGCTCACCATTTCTGTGGTAGCTTTTCCCTGAACTTCTTCTGTGTGTACGGCTTAGTGGGGTTGTTCTTATGGAGTTCTTTGTGAAGTAGGAAACTATTTACAACAGCAATATCAACTAAATGAAAAAGAAAAGTCTTATACCATTTCATCGTCTTGTGGTGAACACTGTAGTATCCAATCAATGTGTCGGATAAAGGAAAGGGGAGACCATGACGCAGTGGTGTCGATTGTCGGGCCTGAGACTCTGGTGGGCATAAACCAGATTGGTCTGGTCGTTCATCATTCTCTTCTCTATTATGACACCTATCTTCTTCTTCCTCTTCGACTCTTCGACTCTTGGAGTGGCAGGCCTAGAATTAAATTAGCACATTGCTGTGATTGAAACAAACTACTGACTTCATCTTCAAACACATTCTTGGCCGTGTAAAACGATGGAAACTCATTGAAATCGACTCGGAATGAGGGAAAGACACTAGAGTATCTTTTCAAGTGGTTTTATTCGATCAGACACTACTTTTGGTAACAAAAACAACAAAGGTAAGACGCAGTTTGTTGTTGTGATAAAAAAATGGAAGTTTGTTATTGACTTTGATTAATAGTTTAGTGAGTGTTGGTCATAGAGGAACACTGCTATCACTGTTGGAATCTGTGAGGTAGCAGCTTTCGAATGGTGTATGTAGGTTGAGAAAAACAAGTTATCTGTCTACGAATATACGGGCATGCACGGTTTCAAAATACAGTACTGGTTTTGCTAATTGCTTATATATTTGCTTGGAGTCTGAATATTATTTCATTTGGGCAACAACAGTTTAGCTAGATTCACACTTGAGACGCTTCTCGTTTCAGTAGTGTATAACATTCATGTATTCACACATGTTTAAAAACCATACTACGTCATTGTTTGAGATTGCGGGAGGAGTACCCCGGATATGGGGAACCTCGTGATGAAGAGGTTAAACTGTTCATTTTAGATTAATATGATAATGTTGCCCTAGTGTTCTGTTGTGAGATGCCTCCTAAAATTAATGTAATTTTATATGTGCTGATCAGGTTGGAGGTTTGAGGTGGCATTGAACAGACCTGAGAGCACTGATGGGTTTGGGCTCAGCCAAAGTCACTGATAATGTCACCTACAAAGCTTAGGCTATATCTAACAGGTGACGGAAAGGTTAAATCATGACTGACTTACAGGTAACTGCCAAAATAAAGGAAACACTTAAGTAAATGAGTGATACAAAGTATATTGAAAGCAGGTGCTTCCACACAGCCATAGTTGAGTTAATTAAGCAATTAACATCCCATCATGCTTAGGATCATGTATAAAAATGCCCAGTTGCCCATTATTTTGCCTACCATGGCTAGAAGAAGAGATCTCAGTGACTTTGAAAGAGGGGTCTCAAAGGAGCATAGGGGGTTTAAAGTGTGTGTGCGTCTCAGTCACCAGATCTCAACCCAATTGAACCCTTATGGGAGATTCTGGAGCGGCGCCTGAGACAGCGTTTTCCACCACCATCAACAAAACACCCAATAATGGAATTTCTCATGGAAGAATGGTGTTGCATGCCTCCAATATAGTTCCAGATACTTGTAGAATTTATGGCTAGGAGCATTGACGCTGTTCTGGTGGCTCGTGCTGGCCCAACGCCCTATTAAGACACTATGTTGGTGTACCTTTATTTGACAGTTACCTGAATTTTAATTGTTATGGTCTCACTACAATACAATGATTGTGACCCCTAGTATCCAAACTACCAGTGTAAGCTCTATTCCTAACACGAACCAACTCTGAGTCTCACTATCCTGCACTAAACCCAATTCTAACCACTGTATCCAGTTCTACCCAGTGTTGCAGGTTACCGTTTTCCATCATGAATCTTGTTCTGGAGGCAGCTCTGCAGGCTGGTCACTAGCTGGCACAGCCACAAAGTCATAAAATCTGATTTTAACCTTAACCACACTGCTAACCCCAGAGGTGGCACCACAGGTACCAGAGCGGCGTGACGAAGAATAATTTCTGGGGCCCGTAGTTTTTCTGATCTGATAACCTAACCAGATAAAACTCCTGACCTTATACAGTATAACGTGATTAATCTGTTGTAAAAAGGTTTAATATGGGCTATGATGGGACCAGAGTTTTTCTTATCAGGTCACATGGTTTTAAAAAACTCCTGGAAAAACTCCTGGTCTTGGGGAGGATGAAAACCATGTCAAACTGCAGCAACCTTATACTTGTTCATATTAAAAGAAAGACTAGGGAGGTTTCCTATACACAGACACAGAGAAAGCAACATGATTGCCTCCCGAGTGGCGCAGTGGTCTAAGGCACTGCATCGCAGTGCTAGCTGTGCCACTAGAGATCCTGGTTCAAATCCAGGCTCTGTTGTAGCCTGCCGTGACCAGGAGACCCATGGGACGGCGCACAATTGGTCTAGGGTAGGGGAGGGAATGGCCGGCAGGGGATGTAGCTCAGTTGGTAGAGCATGGCATTTGCAACGCCAGGGTTGTGGGTTTGATTCCCATGGGGGGTATGAAAAAAAAATAATAATAATGTATGCACTCACTAACTGTAAGTTGCTCTGGATAAGAGTGTCTGCTAAATGACGAAAAAATAAAATAATGATTGGACAATCAAACTCACAGGGCTGAGCTTGTTTTATGCAGGTTTGCATCGTGTAGTCCTGCCCTATGCAACTGTAGGCCTAATAAAAAATGTACTCACAGTCTATGTCAGCTATTGTGTTTGTTGATTAATAAGCCCTGCATAAATACATCAAACAAATACAATATACAAAATTACAAAACATTTAAAGAAAAACAGACACATTACTCTGAACTGACCAAGGGGACCAGAACATCTAATTTCAGAGAGCTCTGTAAGTTGTTCCACATAAAGGGCGCAAAAAAACAAAAAGCAGCTTTACTAAACTCTGTGGAAACTGAAGGGGCCTCCAGTGATATCCAAGCTTGAGACCGGGTTTGATCATTTGTAAGTCTAAATTGAATTAATGATGATGGATACATAGGAAGTTTCTGCATGAGTGCTTTGTAGATAAGTAAATGCTGCTCTCTCCTTGCATACAAAACACAATGGTGAGTTCTATAACCATCCCCAGTAATAAACCTAAGGACACAATGGAAAACAGCATCTAGTGGTTTAAGTGTAAATGCTGCTGCATGCATATAGATAATATCCCCATACTCTAAAATAGACATAAAAGTGGCCTGGACAATTTCCTTCCTATTAACAAAAGTCAGACATGCTTTGTTTCTGTAAAATAAACCAACCTTGAACTTCAACTTCTTCACCAGCTCAGTGACATGTTTGTCATCAAGCCAGATACCAAGATATTTGTAGGAAGGAACTTGCTAAATTTTTGTACCATTCAAACTAGTCATTACAAATTCATTTAAATCTGGCTTATGGGACCTAGAAAAAATCATGTATTTTGTTTTGTTTGCATTTAGTTAATACCTTTACACAAAAAGAAGGCCGTTTTGAAACTGCTAACTGCAGTCAACTGTGGTATTTTGGACACAGTAATTGCAGAATAACTGCAGTGTACTGCACTTGAACTGCAGTTATACTGCACTTGAACTGCAGTTATACTGTACTTGAACTGCAGTTACACTGCAAAATTACTGCAGTAAAAAAAGCACTGTTATTTTGGACGCAGTATTTGCAGCACACTGCAGTTATACTGCACTCTGGTTGCAATCTTTTTTCTTAAGGGTAATTTTAGATTGAAAAGTCTAGGTAGCCTAGTCAGCCCAAGTTTGAATATAAACCAAATGTAATTCCATTCACATTTTCTCACAAACAAATGGCCTACAAATAAACAACGTTACCGCTTAATTTACCCTGGCCACAGGGACAGGTTGCATAATAGGCTAGACTGTTGTTTTTCTACAGTTGATCAGACTGACGTGTCTACAGTTGACACTTACATGCAACTTCTGCTATCACAACACGAAGATCACATTGAAAAGACTGGTTGAGTGATTTGCTTTTGTGGGCTGATTGTGTTCAGATCTGTCTGACCACCTCAGGAGGTGGTCAAGGATGCATTGTGTGCGGATTTCTCCTCAGTCTGGACGCAATCAGGCTACCGCAAGCGCATACAGTGACCGACGTCATCAGCACTCCTCCCACAATTCTCCAGAAAACGTGCGTTTTGGGACCGAGAGGCACCTTTTCATTATAATGTTGGAGGAAATGCGTTCCTAGCGTGTGAGGAACGTATTTGCTGGCCTCATAAATGCTAGACAGCTAGCTAATATTTAGAAAAACATTTGTTTGGCTAGCTACAGAGGTTAGCTGGCTAGTTAGCTACTGTAGTTAGCTGCTGCCATCTGTTGTTGTTGTGTTATCATATTTTGCCTATGCCACCGTTTGTAGAATGCATACTGGCATTTGAATACAGCTAAATCAAAGGTGATGATTGAAAAGTGCTGTGGCAAATGCTGCCTCGCGACACGTTTTCTGGCGGCCCTGGCTAACCCTAATGCCTTACCATATAGTGCATTCGGAAAGTATTCAGACCCCTTGACTTTTTCCAAATGTTGTTATGTTACAACCTTATTCTAACATTTATTAAATACTTCCCCCCTCATCAATCTACACGCAATACCCCATAATGACAAAGCAAAACATGTTTTAAGAAATTTTAGCAAATTTTGTTTAAAAAAATATGGAAATATGACATTTACATAAGTATTCAGACCCTTTACTCAGTACTTTGTTGAAGCACCTTTGGCAGCGATTACAGCCTCGAGTCTTCTTGGGTATGACGCTACAAGCTTGGCACACCTGTATTTGGGGAGTTTCTCCCATTCTTCTCTGCAGATCCTCTCAAGCTCTGTCAGGTTGCAGCGTTGCTGCACAGCTATTTTCAGGTCTCTCCAGAGATGTTCAATCAGGTTCAAGTCCGGGCTGTGGCTGGGCCACTCAAGGACATTCAGAGACCTGTCCCGAAGTCACTCCTGCGTTGTCTTGGCTGTGTGCTTAGGGCCAATGTCCTGTTGGGAGGTGAACCTTCATCCCAGTCTGAGGTCCTGAGAGCTCTGAAGCAGGTTTTCATTAAGGATCTCTCTGTTCATCTTTCCCTCGATCCGGACTAGTCTCCCAGTCCCTGCCGCTGAAAAACATCCCCACAGCATGATGCTGCCACCACCACGCTTCCCCGTAGGGATGGTGCCAGGTTTCCTCCAGACGTGACGCTTGGCATTCAGGCCAAATAGTTCAATCTTGGTTTCATCAGACCAGAGAATCTTGTTTCTCATGGTCTGAGTCCTTTAGCTGCCTTTTGGCAAACTCCAAGCGGGCTGTCATGTGCCTTTTAATGAGGGGTGGCTTCCGTCTGGCCACTCTACCATAAAGGCCTGATTGATGGAGTGCTGCAGAGATGGTTGTCCTTCTGGAAGCTTCTCCCATCTCCACAGATGAACTCTAGAGTTCTGTCAGAGTGACCATTGGGTTCTTGGTCACCTCCCTGACCAAGGGCCTTCTACCCCGATTGCTCAGTTTGGCAGAGCCGCCAGCTCTAAGAAGAGTCTTGGTGGTTCAAAACTTCTTCCATGTAGGAATGATGGAGGCCACTGTGTTCTTGGAGAACCTCAATTATGCAGGAAGTTTTTGGTACCCTTCCCCTAATCTGTGCCTCAACACAATCCTGTGTCGGAGCTCTATGGACAATTCCTTCGACCTCATGGCTTGGATCTTCCTCTGACATGCACCGTCAACTGTGGGAGCTTATATAGACAGGTGTGTGCCTTTCCAAATAATGAGGTCCTCTGTAGCTCAATTGGTAGAGCATGGCGCTTGTAACGCCAGGGTAGTGGGTTCGATCCCCGGGACCACCCATACGTAAAAATGTATGCGCACATGACTGTAAGTCGCTTTGGATAAAAGTGTCTGCTAAATGGCATATTATTGTTATTATGTTCAATCAATTGAATTTACCACAGTTGGATTTCAATCAAGTTGTAGAAACATCTCAAGGATGATCAATGGAAATGGAAATAAAAACCTGTTTTCGCTTTGTCATTATGGGGTATTGTGTGTAGATTGATGAGGGAAAAAAACGATTTAATCAATTTTAGAATAAGGCTGTAACGTAACGAA